ATACTTAACGGAATAAAATTATTTTTTTGCTAAAAGACGAAGATAAAATTTTCAGTATTCTGGAAAATAAAGGCCACGCTTTACGTGCGCACTGTATTAATTGACTGGCTTTCGATGTTATTCACAATTTTCTATCGCACGAGATTCCCTTTTCATAGCGAGGTGCATAATTCAACATCCTAAGAGATATACTATTATACGCGAGAATATTCGTGCAGCCATGTTTGAAATTAGGGTTGCTGAATTATACCGCTGCCAAAGGAATCAACGTATATGCTTTGAATGTCCGCTTGAACGCTTTAAGCTACACTTTGCTGTTATCTAAAATGCATACACCATACTATTCACCGAGATTCTTGCATATCACCTGCATTATGCAACAAAGTGCAGATCGCGCATTGAAAGGGATTTCGAATTATTCCATTCCGATTGCAGTTAGCGATTGCAGGAACACAAAAGTCGCTTTTTCAATCATAAATACTACTTTTAAATTGTATTCTTTTCGTATGCTTTCAAAACATTGCAGATTATATAATGAGATTTGTATTATATATTATAATCAATCCCAGCGCATTATTATTCTACATAAAAATTGCGTAGAAAAACTCGCCATCCTTGAATCGTATTTTGTCATAACTTTCTTTAATAAAATCATCATTTAAAATATTAAAGTATTTAATAAATTATTAATATAAAAGAAAAACAATTTTTTTACGCGATACATGGTCTTTAATAAATTTTGTAAAACTTGTATTTTTTTTTGTAAAATTAATATTACTCGCAGCAATATCTATTGCAATAACTGCAGATACCTGAATCAACCGTTTCACTCATTATGCCCTTTATGTTTGACTAATTTACGGTAATTTACGAGAGGTCGTAAATTGTTCGGGCGATCATATCGACGATCGTCCTCGTCACGTGCGGCTTTAACGAGGTGTGCTGCCGTTGGTGTCGGACTCGACGCGGAGCTCGACTACTCTCCACGAGATCTCATTGTGCGTATATCGTGTGCACTTGTCACGCAAACGGAACACCCACAGACACACGCGCGTATATCGGAAACGAGTACACACCAATGAGTATGTTGCACGTGTATGCAACTAGACTTCTCATTACTCGATACTCAGACAGACAATTATCAAGCGCGTAATTATCGTGCGGCCTTGTAGCAATCGTAGACTTCGAGAACCCGAACGAAAATGCATCGTAAAGGCCGTACAGGCATTTTATGATCCTGGAATATGATCTGAAGAGTCATTGTTAAGCTGTTTCTAAGTTGCAAGACAGAGAAAGTCTAACCATAAATAATTTTAACTATAAAAGAAAACAAGTCTTATAACATGCTTACATCCATTTTTTTTATCAAAATAGATACTAAACTTTAATCTTGGTTTAGCTTACTCTTTATCTTTTCATGTTTTAAGAATTAGATAAAAATAAAAAGTAAATTAAACCGAGATTAAAGTTAATCTATATTGATAGAATACTAATATCTTGTTATCAATGTATGTATAGGTGAAATTTCTTCGGCGTTTCTTTATCACTATATTGCCCCACATTCCATGCTCTGTGATTTACGTCGCGTTTACAAGATGTGACATTTACGCGAATCAATACTCTTGAATTTATCGAAGCTTCGCTTATTGATTGCCACACAGCTCTCTAAGCTAAAACTTACATTGTGCTAGCTGACAACTTCGTAGCATCGGTAGACATCTCACCTCGAGAATTTATCGACAATCGTTTTTGTCGCTTGGCAGAATAATCGGATCCGTGCGCGCGCGGGCGGAAACGGCTGCGGAAACGAAAGAAAGTGGAGTGAAATTGAAATGAAGGAGAGCGTGTTTTTGCGCATAGACAGAAATAAGAGGACAAAAATAGCAGATTCGAAGCATCTTTACGGTTGCGTATTGCACATGATTGCTTTACCATGCGAAAATACAAAAAAATCACAGATTCATAAAAAAATCATAACTTTAATTACAAAAACTGCCTTTTTTGCATTGAATTTATATTCCGTGTTTATTTTTTTCTCTCTCGTTTCAACTTCCAATTTTTGCTTAACAAATTCATTCTGTGAGATATATTTTGTATATAAAATGTAGTTTTTTGTTTTCATAATTGGTTATTGCATTTACTTTATTAAAAGAATTGTTTAGATAGTAAAATAGAATTAAAATATTTTCACTACTTATAGCTCATTCAATATAAACATTTCTACTATCATTCAGAAATATATTTATAATTTCTGCACTTCTCATTTTTCTTTCGGCTTTCTATTTCATTAGGATGTACAGCAAACATAATAAATTGCTATTAAATCTTTTTTCATAGAATAGTTTCTCTGGACAACCAAAATGTGTCAGCGCCATTGTTTGTCTAATGAGTTCGACACAAAAGAAAGGACGGATTTTAGATTCCGTAAATCCGTCGCTTCATCGGAACTGTCATGACGTAATGAAATACGTCCTACAGCATTTACGCACATACGTAGGCGTAGACAAACCAAGAGGAGATCTCGTATTTACGACAGCAAACGTTAATTCCGGAGTTTATCGCTCGCTCTCGCGCGTCAGTCTTTCACGATACGCCCCGCTTAGTAAAGGACGCCTAGCACGTTTATCTTGCTCGTAGTAATTGTCATTGGCGCTTTTTCCATCTCGAGATTCAATCCATTTTGTTGCACGTCACGACTACCGGTTTCTCGTGAGCTAAAACGGCCGTATGATGGATGGAATGGAATGACTGCAATATCGTGGAATTGTGGAAATGATCGCAGCCTTTTAAGACGAAAAATAATTACTAACACTGATGCCAAGTTAGAGAATTTTCTTCTAGCTTTGATGAAGATTTTTTTTTCTACTAAAAATTTTTTTAGGGGTACAAAAAGGCGTAAAAAAGAATTTTTTAGGGACTTTTTGGGAGAAAAATACGAAGAAATTAATTTTACTTGTATATTATTTTATTCCAAATTTATGTTATTGTTCCAACGTTATTAATTTTGCAAGAATTATTTGAAATCATTTAAGTTGGAATGTCGACAATCAATACAACTTTATGATTGAATTTTACTTGAATTATTTATGTGACAGCGATCTGCAAATTGCAAAACGATTTTTAAGCATCTCAGACTCTCGATTATGAATGCAAACACGTCTGTATTCGGATTAAAATTGCATTTGGCACTTCTGTTTATATTACCTGGGTGTCCTATATCATGGTACTAGCTTTCTGAGCTACATGCACTTAAACATTCCGGCTATTGGATAATTTACGTTCGACTGAGCATTCTGAGTGATGCGCAACATGCAGAGTATCTGCTATCCCCGTGTCACGCGCGCCTTGTGCACTTCGAAAATCATCGGTGTATACTGTCAGTGTATTACCTCGTGATGCAAATGGCGACCTAGATTTTTTGCGAATAGATCGTGCTGCTATGGAATATAGCTGTAACGTGGTTTCATCGAGAGGAAATTATCGCGACATGCGAGAAAGGATGCGACATCTTCGCGCCACACCCTCGTCGTCATCGCGTTAAAATAACGTTTTGGCACGCTCGCGCGCTGCATCACCATGAATATTTATGCGCGCGACAGGTGCTCGAAAGCGGAATCGAGCTGGCACATCTACCCGGTGAGTAGCAGCGATGAGCGAGAAAGACGTGCTTGGCATTGCACCTCGTTCGTTGCCCCGACTCTAATGGAGCCTTAACGCTGAAACCTTCTCGAACTTGGTCAACGGCCATACGCGCTCGCCTCGATTTAATTGTTGCCGACGTGTAATTATGCCGCGCGGCGGGATCGCGTGACGAAACCGGGACGAAGTTAATTTTCGGATGTAGCCATTTCATTATTATCGCGAACTCTCAGCCGTGTTTCTGTGGTCTTCTTTCTTGTTACCCGCAGGCGTGTCGGGAACGATATTAATTTTCATTATCAAAGGGCAGTGCACCAACTTCAGAGTTTTCGAGCGTCGAGAGAAATGTCTTTGTTGCAATTTACCGGTGAAGTGAGTTATTTTAAATTCATGGAATTGATTCACATTAGAACACAGTGCAATCACTCGTTTCATTTACAGACATAATTTACTCTCACACAGCTCTTGAGTCTAAAGATAATCAGAAACTCGCGCATTAGATAATTTAACGCGCAATTTGATCGTTCAACAATTCTCAATTTTTTTATTTCCTAATATATATATATATACATTCCTGTATTATAATAAAGATATTAAAATAAAGTAGAAATAGATACAAGTTTTGTAGTTCTTATAGATAATATTTGATCACGGCATATTGATCTGCCATAGAAAGTTAAATAGGTCTTTTTTCAAATCTGCACATGACAAAAACGATTTTATTTATAAAGTATTTAAAAATTTAAATTAGATACAGATCTAACAATAATTTTGTTCAATTATCAAAATAATTATATAAGACACTCAAGTTGCTAAAGTATCAAAATTTTTTGTAGCATTGTACACCATGCTTGAGTTTTCATAAATATTTTTTTATCCAAATATTTTCTATATATAAATATATATATATATATATATATATTTATTTATTTATTTATCCAAATATTTTCTATATAAATATTTATCAAAAAATTTTAATAGTTAACACAATTTTCAGATCTATATCTAATTAAACTTTTAAATACTTGAACAAAATCGTTTTTTTTTTTCGTGTAAATAAATACAACTGCACAGCTTCAATCATTCGTACAATCATAAATCCCAGAGTCACAGTTGATCTCTGTGCGTTGATTTAACTGTTAGCTTCTAGGTGTCAAATCTGTGCTGCCTAATCTTGTACATGCACACCCCGCCCTTGCCGTGTTGTTGGGGATGCTTGGACTTTCCACCCCGCCCTTACTCACGGCCTACATGTGGTGACGTTTCCCGCATCGAGCTCTAATCTCTGTATCGTAATGTTGTAGTTTCGAAAGGTTGCAGGAGAACGTCAGAGAGAGGATCTCAGATGGGAGCGTGACCTGGACCGGAAAAGCAAGTCGAGGGGTGGCTCACCCGATCGCCATCAAGCCTCTGATAGAGGGAGAGCGACCAGCCCTCAGAGAGTCATGCCGGCTCAAACGGGCGGTAAGGATCATTTTACTCGTTCATGCGAGATATCTGTTACTCCTTTATATTACTAGATGTCAAATTTCGCGTAATGGTCGCATGTTACGATACAATCGAAGAAATAAGAAAGTATATGGCTCGTTTTTTTTATATGAAGAAAAATGAAGTTTATAATATGATATTATTAGATACTAATCATAAGGATGGCAAGTATAGTGCCGTTATTTTTTATTAGGTGTGGGAAAAAGTTCGTGGCATTTTTCTCGTTAGATGGCATTAAAAAAACGCCACGAACTTTTTCCCACACCTAATATTATATTAATAACAATTTGATAATGACATTTTTTTAATGATTATAACTAAACGCTATAAGATTGGGAAAGTTATTTTGAAAAGTAATTTGTTACCAATACGCATTATTTATCTAAAAATAACTCGTTACAAATAAGGAGTTACTTTTTGCAGTAACGATTGACTTTTCTAACTCTGATGTTACCGTTACCATCATAAAAAATTCACAACGTCATTATCGAATCTTATTGTAACAAAGTAAAGACAAAAAAGTAACGGCATTACATATAAGTATTTGCCATCCTTGCTATTAACTTTGAGGATGAAAATTTTTTTAACAAAAATATTTCAAAAAAAGATTACGTTTTCTAAAAATTTTTGGGATCGCTGAATTCGATTCTCAGAATTCTAAAATTTAAATTTCAAAAAAATAATCTAATTATAATGAAATTCGGTTTTAGAAGATTCTTGATAAAGCTGCATTCGAATGTAACCTGAAAATATCACATTTTAAAAGCGTACCTTGCAATGAAAGAGTCTAATGTCACAGGGTTAAATCAGAATTTGAAATGATTTTAATACCAACTGTTTGTACAACTCTAATAAATAAAATGAAACTGGAAACCTGATATGTTACTTTGAAATTAAAAATTCCCTAAAACCGAATTTTATGATAATAAGATATTTTAAAATTCTATATATGTCATATATTGAAACCTCCATTTTAAATTATATATTTTTGACTTCAAATTCAAATAAATTATATATAGGATAATTATTAAATTATCTCATAGGCCAAATCATAAAAATCGAGCGAGCAATTTACAGAATAAAAGGAGATGCCTAAATAGGCATGCTCCTCCACGAAGGGTAAATGTATTGTAAAATTAGACTTATATTTTTATATATTATTTTTATAAATATGTTTTAAACTTCAAACGTTTTAATTTTTAATTATAATGTAACATATTTTCCAGCCAGAAAAAAATATAATTACTTATATTTATAAAAATGAATAAATATTTTTGCAGAAACACAAAATTGTTTTAGATACATAAAAATTGTTTTATATATTTGTCATTATAATTATTTTAGATATATAAAATTGTTTTATATATTTGTTATTATAATTGAATAATTTACAATTGCATAACGAAAATACATTATTTTTATCATAGTCAATCAGCAAATGTTATTCAAGATCAAAATGAGTTTCAAATTTCGTATTACGTTAACCGCTTTATCTTTCAATTTATTTAGGATGTTAAACCCCTAACATCATCTTTCAATTTCCTTGATAAAGTGATTGAGCAGGAAGGCGGTGATTTGGATGATGAAGAGGAACGTCGACGTCGCGCTCGTCGCGGAGGCGGTACAGTTCGTCGCAAATCTCGCGTGACCCGGCAAAGGTCGTACGACGATGAAATCAAAACAGCGGCTACGATGGCCACCGGTGGAGTACAACCTACGCATCCTGACACTGGCCTAGGACTTCCGGTTCAATTACCAAGACGAGCGTCCGCCTACGACGTTTACGCAGTACCTGGAAGTAGCAGTCTTAATGCGATGGCTATCGCCGCTGCTCAACAAAGAGCCTCTATTTCAGCGCAAGGTGCGTTGACATGATTCATTGCAATAAATGAAAAATTTATTCTTTGATTTTCGAAAGCTCGCGATGTTAATTTTATTTTACAACGCAGCTTTTCTGTTTACACAGAAAGAAAAATTTTACTGACTTATTATTTAAATAATAATAATTTAGCTAGATCTAGATCTAAAAATAATTTTGTTTGAAAAAATAATTATGTAGAATAGTACTCAAATTGCTAATTGCTAGAATGTTAAAACTTTTTGCAGCATTGTTATCATTATGTTAAGCATTCTACATAATTATTTCAATGATTCAATCCAAAATTATTTTCAGATCTATATCTAACTAAATTCTTAGATATTTTTTCTGTACAATTATACAGGTTGAGTCATTTTAAGTGATACACTAAAATATCTCGAAAAATATAATAAATATGAAAAAATGTTTTAGACAAAAGTTAGCTCAGTTATTAGGGGAGAAGAAAATGATGACCATGATTAATCTTAATGAGATATCCTTAAAGCCAGGTCAAGGTTACATCGATTTTTTTTAAACGGCATATCCTATTTTTTATTCAGAATCTAATAGCTGGTCTCAAGAGCTTTTCAAAACACTGTAATAAAATCGTTTTTTTATGAATACCTTTCGAGTTATAAGGCTTAAAAGTTACAGTACTTCCGGCATTAGCATTACGCAGTGTTGGACCGATGGCTAAAACCTCTTAAATGTTGCTCATGTCTTGGATAACATTCGTTAAGATCAAAGTCATTGGAGATTGTTTCTCTTATTTTTATTTTTGCATTTAAAATTCATTTTTATTTAAAGAGGTTTTAGCCATCGGTCGAACACTTTGCGTAATGCTAATGTCAACGATATTGTAACTTTCAAGCTTTATAACTCGAAAAGTATTAATGAAAAATAACTTTATTATAGTGTTTTGAGAATCTCTTGACACGAGCTATTAGATTTTGGAATAAAAAAATGTGCCATTTAAAAAAAAAATGTGACTTTGATCTGGCCTTAAGGAGGCCATCAAGGTTAACTCATCAAGGTCAACCAAGGCCATTTTCTTTCCTTCTAGCAACTTTTGTCTGAAACATTTTTTCATATCCATTATATTTTTTGAAATATTTTAGCGTATTACTTAAAATGACCCTATAATATAATACCTTAATATTTTAAGCTCAATATTTAAGAAAAAATTATTTTCTAATAATCCTAAGAAATAATTTTTCTTAATTGCATTATAATTATATATTATAATTATAAATATATAATATCACGTACATTAGATAAGTAAATTCAAATGTAACAATAATATTTTGTGTATAATTAAAATATTTATAATTTAAATATTTTTTAATAAAAAATATCACTTTTAGTAGATATTTGACATAAAATATATAAGAATTAATATTTTTCATCACATATTTTTATTTCATATCTAAAATATCAGTTTCGCATAAAATAAATCATCCATCAGACATCTCACTAAAATAATGAGCAGTATATGTATTGATAATCATACTATATTACATGTACACAATTCCTCATAATTTCTCTCATTAATGCTATCTTTGACCTCCCGAGCTATTCCCAGGAGGAACTTTAACAACCCTTCGATCCCGGCGAAAGTGTCGAAATTTCCAACTTCTATACTTCCCTCTTGATAGCAAGCAACATATGCTCCGATTTCTCCGCCACATATTGCGCGTTTACGAGTTATCGCAATGGCATCCGCGACAAGTTAGAAATGACTGTGCTCTAAGGGATTCCAAGGGCTGCAAAAGCTGCTAGAATAATCGAATAGACCTTGTCAAGCAACAGTAATTCTAGCTTATGTATTGTTCGTTCTGTTTCATAATTTCCTCTGTATCGTTGTAGAAACAATTTACCCCATTATGTGAATACAAGCGGTGTTTCACCATCAAAGCAACTTCAAGGAAATGAATAAACCAATTTTTGTTAAACATACATATTGACAACGTAATATGATTTTATTCATTTGACATTTTCTGTCATATTAATACACAACAGAAAGAACTTTCGACAATATACTTTCAAACCGCGATTTCCATCTCAATTAATTTCATGATCTCAGAGAGATAATTATCGTAATTTAAACGTCTCAAAAAAATGATACTTATTATGTGCAGATTTAAGAAAACTTTTTAAGATGAAAATTTCACGTAATACATCAACAAATTATTAACCAGTTATTCAGGATACCATTAAAATTTTCCGCACGGAACAACTTTAAATAGCAACTATGACACTAGTTTCAGAATTCCCATTTTCATGCATTCAATTCAGTCGCGTCGGACGTGTGTCGCGTATCCTGAGATACATTTCTATAACTGCAGTGTAACTTGAACAGTGCGCGCGTATATTACCAGTCTGCGTGATCGGAAGCACTAAACAAACATCTCGACTCGACATAGAAATTCTGGTTTTCTCTTTCCTTCCCCTCCCATTCTTCTTCGGTCTATCGAAAAGCCCTGCACGCGATGAACTTGCAGCGTACTTCTATGGAAACTATTTCCGATGCGTCATAGAGAAGCGTACGGACGTAACGCGGTTTCAAAGCCATCTATACTCATGCATATACGCATATATTGATCGCCTATTCAGATATTTTAAATTTTCCATTTTGCTGAGAGTAACGTGTTCCAGCCTCAATTTGATATTTGACTTGTTATAACGTGAGTTTCAGCCATTTAAGTTTGCATAAAGCGAGAAATTCCCTTTTCGAGATAGCTCGGTAATTACTTAAGAAAATTATAGCATTATTATCATACATTATTATTACAATACAATTTGAAAAGAAAACACGGAATGAACATGCAAGTGTATACAGATAAAATAACATATTATTGACTATATAGCGTCTTTAATAAAAATTTTATTTTCGTAAAAATTTAATTAGCAAATCTTTTATAACTTTTCAATTTTTAATATTAGAAAGTTTGATAATACAAATGAAAGTTCAACAAGTCCAAAAAGATTAAAACGAGAATTAAAACGACGAGGAATAAGATTTAATTATCTAAGATTTAATTATCTAACCGCGAGATTAAATTGTCAAAGTTTTTTTAAATTTTTCTCTTTTTCTTTTTCTTTTTCTAATTAGTTATAATGATATTTTAATGTTAATATCTTATTTTTTCCTTTTTTCTTTGTAATAAAACAAAAATATTATACCCCTATTCAAATAACCAGTATATAATGTAACCTGTACTTGTTTCTCTATCCTATGCAACCAAGAGCTGAAAACTCCACTTCCTGGTTACAGAGAAAAATAATATTGGCATTTGACTCGCATCGTACTTTAGTGTGAAACATTTCAACTATTTTATTGCTTTCAAATATGTTTAACTTCTTTGGAGTCTTTACGTAAATAACTATATATTTATAACTATATATTTCAATATTAGTTTTTTCATATATTATTATTTCTGACAGAGATAAAAAACTAAAAAAAATGAATATGAAATTAATGTTCTAAATAGAATTATTAATTCTAAATAAAATAATAAATTAATTTCTAAATAGAATTATTTATTTTTGTATATTCGTTCACATAATTGCAATATTTTTCCCTATCATGTTTTAATAATTCATACAAATACTTCTAGGAAAAATATTTTTTAATAGATTTTAAATGTAATATCGAAATATTTTATTTTTTTGATCAATTTCAAATTCCTGGCGCGCGCACACACACACACACACACACACACACACACACGCACACGTTTTATTAAATCCATGCTACTTTTATATCTCTATTTATATTTTATTATATCAAGGACTTCATTATTCAAGGCGATTTACTCGCTATTATGAGTCGCATTTAATATTTCAAGTATAATATGATCGGCCTTAAAATGTCATTGGTCATTTGCTTCTTCGCAGGCACCCGAGAACCTGAAGAACGATCTCGCAGATCCTCTTTCCGCGCTGTGAAACCAGTGATGCCGTACGACGCGGCCGACGACGAGAAGATGATTAAGCTAGACTCATCATCTGCACCTGCGGTACCGCCTGTGTCCCAACCCGTTCTTGTACCCGATGAAGAAAGGCGCAATCGACGAAGAGGTTCCCAATTGTAAGTTACTGTTGGCGCCGTTATAAGATTTATTTATGTAAAAGAGAAGAGAAAACATGACCACGCATCTATACCACAATGTATATAAAGCAAATGAAATTTGTTTTTTATTAAGAAGTTAAGCTATCTGACTTGACATGGCATGTTGAAAAACTGATGATTCCAATGCAATTTAATTTAATGTTTATTACATGATAACAGCAAGATCTCATTTTTCATTTTGTTATTATATAATTAAATCTTTATAAATTTATATCACTAAACAGTTATTGAACGTATTTGAATTCTCCATATATATACATAGGATGACAAAAAGTTTGGCCGTAAAGATTTATGTTTGTCATATTATTATAGTAATGTATATTTACAAAAAAAGCAATTCTAGATTATTAGTTACATTTTATTAAATATCAAAAATAATAATTAATATTAAAATAGCATCCATCTTCAACTTTGATGAAAGTTTTGAGAGTACGATGGCTGAGCATCTTTCTACAGGTAATTTCTCCCAGGTGACCAATAGAACGATCTTCAGTCTACTATAAACCAACGAATATCTTTTAGTGCAGTCTTTTTGATATTTAATGAGGTGTAACCAGCCCTCTAAAATTTTTTAATATTTTTTAATATTACTTTTTTTAAAATACTATCCAAGTAACAAACTGTTGTTATTTATTGTCATTTCAACGTCAAAATGATAAATGACGTCAATGCCTGCTATCCAGATAATAACTTGACAAATACTTGACTAAAATTGTCATACAAACTTTTTTATCACTCTGTATAATGTATTATACATTCTTATTTTATATATTTTTTGTTATGTAATATATTAATATACATTCTTAAGTAAACATCGTAATGATCAACGTAATTAATTTTAAATAATAAGTTAATAATTTAATCCAATAAGTTATAATAATAAGTTATAATAAAAAATAATAATAAGTTAATAATAATAAGTTAATAATAAGTTAATAATTAAATCCAATATAAAAAAAGCATACATACTTTTGCACTATTTTAATTAATATTAATGATAAATTGTTTGAATAATCTTCAGTAAATCATTCATTATTTTGGCTTTCTGCAATAATCTAACTCTAGCAATGGGAATGACGCAAATCTGCCGATTTCAATTTTGTACTTTAATTTCGAACTTTCACATATATTTGCTTGTTTTTTGACACCGAGTTTTGACACCACGGTAGACATTTCGCCTCTACTTTCCGAAAGTAATTTAAACTTTTACACTTGTGTACGTGCGTAAAAAAAAGACCTATCTCACGTTTTCCTCGTTGCATATGCGCGTTTACAAATTAAATATTTTCCATCCAAATATATCAGGCTAAATTTAAATTTTATCTTTCCGCATGTCTATTGAATCTTCTAAAAAGAATAAAAAAGATTAATAAATAACTTCTTAGAATCGTACAAAAGAGATTTTACAGTAAATTACAAGCTTAAATTAATTCCTAAAAGTACTTTTTCTAATAAGAAATATATACTTTACTCCGAATATATACTTTAATTCTCTGGAATATCTTTTTTTATACTTCAAAGCTGTTTCTCCAATAATACACATTTAAACGTACAATTGAAACTTCCTATTACATATTAGGTAATCTATGGTCAGTTCTATAATTTTAACAGAATTATACTAGGATACTTGCATGAAAAACATGGAAATCAAAATTGAAAAATCGATATATCCTGAAATAAATTGTTAAAATATTTTTTGAGCGATGTATCTATATTACGCAAAATTTTCGCAATCCGCAAATGTTGGTTATATCCATTTTATTATAACGAAATAATTTGAAATATTCAATATACGAAGTATTTTGAAACAATTCTCACATACATAAGCATATTCAGAATATTTACTGAAAGATTTCCACATTTTTCCATCCCGACATTTTTTGACGCGAAATGGTAGTCTTAATATGTATCATAATCAACCAAGTACGTTTAGAGTATAATATAAAATGATATATGTTTCTGTCGTTTAATCTACTTTGATAAAATAATGTAATTGCCGCCTAGTATTTACATTTCATTAAAGCTCGTTTGCGCCAATAAATTTGGATTAAATAAAGGTGGGATTAAATACTTAGAGATTCACTATCCATTTTTAATAATAGGGGTGAAAATTTACTTAGTTAAATTTAATTCAAAACGAATTAAATTTTCCGGACTTAAGACTTAGTTTTCTTTTGTAGCGAATATCGATTTGCAATCAAGGATTCCAATATAGAATCGAACAAGCATTTTTCTTGTATCCATCGTCGCGGCGAAAATGAGGATCGATTTATTCCGTCTCTGATTTCTTTCCTATTCCGCTCTACCACGTTTACTCATGATTACTTTTTTATTTCCAATAAAACGTAACGTGCAACGTATGTTGTAAGTAACATATACACACATCGCCAGCAAGAGGTCGAGTGGATTGCAAACAGGGGAGTTTGCTACTAGAGAAATAATTAATACCACCCTATCCCTTCTCCTACTCTTCGTTAAGTGTGCGCATTTACTCGCGTGCGAGCATCTGTGGTTCTTGCCAAAGTCGAGTTCGGAACTATTACAATTTCGGAAAGCTTAATTTTCCGCGCTATAGAAGGTTATACTCGAAAATGTAGCATAACGGCAAGCTTGCAATATTAACTATTCGAGAGGCTTGCGTTTATAATGCAGTACTCAATACGGATAATACTATGAAGCTGCACAACTTTAAAATATATTTGAATAATACATTTAAGATTGAAATTAAAATTTGTCTTAAACATTTGCAATCACGTATATTTTCTATGTCGATTAGATACATTTCCTAGATACATTTCTATGATATTTAATTCATTAAAAAATTTATTTAACCTTGAAAAATTTCTTTAAAATAACCATTTTTTAAATAAACATTTTAATCTTATTCGTTTTTATTTTCATTTTTAATATTTTTTATTATTTACAAACATATATTTATAAACAGAAAGAACGGTTTTGCCGAAATAAAAACATTTAACTGATATAAAAATTTAATTAAATACACAAATCTGAAAATAATTTTGTCGGATTATCAAAATAAGTATGTATAATGACATTCAAACTGGTACTAAAAAGTAAACATTTTTTACAGTATTGTATTTGAACATCCTACATAATTATTTTGATAATTCAACAAAATTATTTTTAGATTTAGCTAAATTTTCAGATACTTTAGCAAAACAGTTTTTTCCATGTACGATGCTTGTCTAAATCTGATTTAAAAAATAATTTTTTTTCTATGCGATTTAAAATCTGAACATTAAATTCAATTGCTGCTGATATAATCCAATAATCGCGGTCAAAGATTTCTTTGAGCTTTTTCTATGTCGAAAGGATCGAAGGTATCGAAGGTAAGAAAGTGTCATCCCTCGGACAGGTTGTTACGCTCATATGAAGGAGGATGCTTGGCGAAAGGATCGCGCGATGATGTATCGTTCTTGTCAAAATTGGCTTAACCTTCGTGATCCTTCGCCGTCATCATCTTTCTTCCAGCCGAATGAAAAAGTTCGTGAAAGATGATGAGTTAAAGTCATCAGTCAGCGTTATAAATCATTTAGATCACGTAATCGTTATTATCTCATACAGTCAGATGACATTGAAAGCTGACGCTTATACATATTAATTCTTCATACTCAAGTCAATTTTGAAGCACGTTTTAAAAATATTAAAAATATTTTTAAAATGGTTACTGTAGTTACTATGAAGTTTCCTGAAGTATATAACACTTAGCTAATTACTGAAAATAATTGTCAGATTATCAAAATAATTATGTGGAACACACTTAATTATTGATGACAATCTTGCAAAAATTCTTACCAGCAATCAATTTAAGCGTTCTACATAATTATTTTGATGGTACAAACCAAATTGTTTTCAAATCTAGTTAAATTTTTAGATACTTCACCAACTCTTCTTTTCGTGTATATTAGTTACTAAAAATTGTAATATTTCTTTTATAATTTTTTATAAACATAATATATAGAAATTTAGATTAATTTAGATTAGATAGATATTGATTGACTTCAATATTTCAAAATATAAATCTAATTAAACGAATTGTAAGCAACTTTAATTTATTCGCGAAATAAACGCGCATCGTTGTAAACATTTTTTCATATAATTTCTTTATAGTTTATGTTCTTCTTTTTACAGACTCGCCATCCAAAAATTATTTTTTCTAATTTATTAATTTACTTATTTATCGAATATGAATCAATGCGAACGTAAACCTATAGAAAAAATGGAGAACTATATATCTCTTGTACTTTAATCTAGTAAATGAAGCATATATACCGCTTTTCAAAATATATAGTCCGTTTTTACGCCTTCAAAAAAAAAATCATTAATTATTCATGATCAATGTACTATCTAAAGCAGCACATTCATCGACCTCGATTTCGAAATACCTCGATTGCTAAATTGAGAGACTAACATGAGAGCTGCTGTTAGAACTAAAATAAGTGCGCGGCACTTTTCCTCCTGCCTTATATCGGCCTTACATTGACAAGAACTACTCTGTAAAGAGCGACATTAGAAGTTCACTCGTGCTTTAATACAACTGCTGCTACGTCGAAATTTGGTCGTGCTTCGAATGTTTGCATCGGCTGACCGTGCGCTACATCAATCACCACGATATCGTCAACTTGGTAAACCACCGGAAATCAGGATAACTCGTCCCGATAATTCTACTGAATATCGCACATCTTAACTGACATACTTTCCGTTGCTGCTAATAAATTTTCAACCCACCTCACGCGTCGAATAAAGTTATCTTGTCTTCTTTCTTGTGGTAACTTCAAAAACTTGATTCTATAATAAGAATTTACGTCTCTTGTTCTCAGCAATCTAAATTTATCATTGACTGATGTATCATTCTTTAACTTCATTATAGATAATTTGAAAAAGATAATAAATTAATAATAAATTTGAATTTGATTTATTATAACAATTTTTTTGAA